GTTGGTGATATCCTGATAAACATTTTACTAGTTAACCACTTTTTGATATCTTTCAAAAGAAATGAGATATATAGGCTCAAAGTGGGCGATCCGGGTGTCGTTCTATTAGAGGTTTTACGGTAATCTAGTTTGAACTTTCTAGGTCTGGGACACGATTCCTAATTCTTCAAATTGATTTCAATTGTTATTGGTTTTCTTCCCTTTCCTATCCAGATCAAATCAATGTGGCTCAAAATATATAGGAATCTACCGATCTAGGATATTTCACTGCTTGTTGAATTCAGTTCGATTTCAAACAAAAATCTCACCTCCAGTCGCAACAAACATGTCAATCTGTTTATTGATAGCTGCAGAAGCAAGATCCTCATGTAGTTCATTTGATTGCGGAGATGGGATGAAATCAGGTGGAGACGGGATGACATCCAAATTTGGATATAAATCTTGGGCAACAATTTCCTTCTTCATTCCTTGGAGTTTCTTCTGTATCGCATCCTCCTCCTTTTTTATCAATCTCGCAGATCTTCTCGCCGGAGCTGGAGCAAAGTATAAATACCGGGTGTTGTTCTTCCATGCATGAGGAGGTCTGTAGGCATCCTCCTCCTCGGCTTCTTTTTTTTTCTTTTTTCTGTAGTTCTGGTATTTTTATCAAGAGTACTGTGATTATTAACCTACTTTTGATTTTTTGGTGTTGCCTTTGGAGCTGTTGCTTTGGACTTCTGAGCCTTTGGCTTTGGGGTCTGAGTTGTACTCGAGACCAAATAATCTTGAATATCGTCGATTTCTTGTTTTATTTCGACTTTGATTCTGCTACGTGTTCTAGTGTCTGACGACATGATTGGTCCGGAGTGTGTTGCAACAACGGGAAACGAAGAACGAGACAATGGAGCATTGCCGAACGGAACGTCTGGAGCTTCATGACTAGTCCCTTGATCTCGACCATATCCTTCTCTTTGGGACATCTTAAAAGACACATTTACGTTTTCCACTCTTTCCATGATTTCATATCACTGATTGTAATAACTGTTGGTACTTTTAGTACTACTTTGAAATTACGAAATTGTTTTTCAGTGAATCACTAGACTTCTGTTGACTCACCATTTCCAAGTATGCTTGATTTTGGACTCTGGACGTCTTTTCTTTTGTCAGATCCAGCAAATGGCGGTCAGTAACTCCGCCTACTCTCTTCATATTCAATTGACAAGCTCGAAGATCTTCCAAGTTTTTCTTTCTCCGTTCCTCTTCCTTCTCCTCGTAAGAGTAGTCATCTTCTGGCTCGATTTTCATCTGAAATCGAAATTTTAATAATCTCGATCATGCTGTTATTACAAGTTCTCAGAATTTAGAAAAATATACAGTAAACCACAACTAGACAAATTTGATATAAAGGTTAAAGGTTCCAAAAAAAGGATAAAAAAGGACAAAAAAGGAGTCAAATTAGTTGTAATTAACTTTGCAAATCTAGAAAAAAAAATAGGAGAAGGTTTTTTTTTCGAAATAAGAAAGTTAAAAGGTTAGGGCACATAATTTCGGAGGGTACAACAATTCGGGGGT